TTAAACTCAGTGCCAAGTAAACAAAAGCGTACCACATCAGGGGAATTCACGATAAACTCCAAAGGGACAGTGGAAACAAAAGTATAGTAGAATTCTCAAGTTAGCTCCGTAACTTCCGGGACATCAAGGTGTAGAAATTCCGACCAACCAAGAAATGCAAAATTATCAATGACATCAACAATCAAGTTCAATTTCACTAAGAAGGAGATTTCAAATTTCTTGCAAGGAATAATTTTTTGAAAGGAAGAATTGACAGATTCAATCTTTTGATATCGTCAGGATTATCAAATGAAAAATTACCTCTGACGAACTTATCCGGCACCATGTGTACTTTCTTACAGCATGGAGGGCACGACCAGGGTTTTGAAATCTTTGCCGAACTGGAGAGGGGTACTCGAACAGTCGGTCAGACAGAGGCGGGTTTCTTCTATGGTGCCATATCCTGCAAAATAGAATAGGAAGTGAAAACTTACCGGAAAAGAGTGAACTCCGGAGGATATGCGGCGGTCAGCGGCAAGCAGTGGCGGACCGTATCCAGCTGCTGGAGCAGGGCAGCGGCAGAGCATAGGAAAGGGGAGGAGCGGGAGGAAAGAAGAAGAAGAAGAGGAAGACGTCGGCATCTGTCGGTGGGAGGCGGCGGCAGCAGGTGGCGGCGCAGATTATGGAGCAGGGTAGACGGGTAGAACGGAGGATTGAGAAGGACGTTTTGAGAGGAAGCGCCGTCGGAAAATCATCTTTATTGCTTTATTCATTTAGCGTGAGTAGCTAATTTTCTAGTCTAGTCCACGTTTAAATGTAGATTTCAGACTAGGATTTGTAAGATTCTGTTTTGATTTAATTTGAATCTTGTTTAGTAAATTAAATCTTTTATTTGAGCTTCAAATTATAAAGAAGCACTTTCTGACCGACATAAAAAAATTTCTTTAATATTTGTTGGTCATGAAAGGCTATCGTCTTTTCTTTGTACGTCAAGGCGCTCTCATATGCCTTATTCTTAATCTCTTCCAATTCCTGCAACTATAACTTTCTATGTGTTCCTGCTTCGTCAATAATCATGTTGCATTTCTTTACTGCCCAGAAAGCATGGTGCTCAAGTTCAACAGAAATATGACATGGCTTACCGAGTACTAACCTATATGGCGACATTCCAATAGGCGTCTTGTAAGCGGTGCAAGAAGCCCATAATGCATCCAGGAGGCGGAGACTCAAGTCCTTTCTATCCGGTCTAATAGTCTTTTCAAGAATAGACTTGATTTCTCATTCGACACCTCTGCTTGACCATTTTTCTGAGGATGGTATGAGGTTGAAACTTTGTGCAATACGCCATACTTCTAGCCGTGATGATCATTAGGCAAATATGTTAATAGTCCATTTATGAATGAATGATCAGTAATTAGTCAAAGGGAGATTGAAATATTTACATAAATCACCTTTGATAGATACATTTATGGTAACCTCGGTGCTTCCAATAAAATACTCTAACACCACAATTGTCGCGTAGCAAGTGGTGTCAAGGTTGATTCACAGAGACTGTGAAATGTAATTTTTGTTTGTCACAATTTCAAGTATTTGGGAGGAAAGAGAGATTAGAAATTCACTAATATAATTAAAAATAAACTATCGGAAATAATATTTAGATTTCAAATAGATTAACTTTTGGCCCAATGAGTAAATAAGAAACTGGATTAAAGATTCGATCATCTATTTGATAAATTAGTTATAGGTATTAGATATGATCATAACGTCCAATTTTCCCTTACTTTAATGGCACCAATGGTACGATCGATTAACCGCATCCCTAATTAAAGAAATAATCTAAGTACGATCATAAATTGATTTTCCCAATTGAAAATAACATGAAAAAAACTCAATTCAAATATTCAATCAATTATGAAAAGATTCAATTATTTGATCATGCAATTCATAGGCTAAGCTTATCAATCTATTTACCACTTTATCAAACAAATGTACAATTACAGAAACAAATGTTTAATTGGCTCACAATTGCTAAACCAATCTAAAATCCAGCCACCATAAAAGATTAAATAAAATAATTGTAGGCATGAATCACATAAATTGCACAAATATCAATTTACTAAACAATATTCAAATTAAATCAAAACACAATCTCACAAATCCCAATCGGAAATCAACATTCAACTTTGGATTAGACTAGAAGATTAGCTACTCATGCTAAATAAATAAAACAATAAATAATGATAATGATGATCTTCCGGCGGCACTTCCTTTCAAAACATCCTTCTTAATCCTCCGCTTAGACTATGAAAAATGAGAGTGAATTGTGATGTCTCATGCAATGCCTTCCCCATTTTATAGACAAGCAAGCTCCTCAATTGTTCCTTGATTGCTCCTTTTCATTTCCCATGCCTTCGATCAAGCCTAAATTTCTTTCTTTCCATCTTCACACCTATAATCATCCACCATCTTTTTAAATCACAACTTTCCTTGGCACGCAAGCTTAAAATCAAACACTCTTATAATTCTTTGACCGAATATTTGGCATGGGTGTGAATCACTCCATTCCCTCACACCAATCAATAACATGCCAAAATGAGTAGAAATATATCCAAAATATTAATTATAATTTATAATTTATCTATATAAATATAGGATAATATATGCTTTATCAATTTATGCGGCTATGACTTATCTAGGCTAGTTGTATTTTTCTTGAACTTCTCGAGAAATAAACAAAACAATGGAGTGCATAGGTCAATCATATGTAAGTATAAAGCAAAGCAAAATTGATCCATGTGACAATGACAATCCACTTGTAGACTCCAAAGCACTTCGAAAACATATTATGAACTTCTATAAATTTAAAAGCATATTGTTGTCGTCGAAAATCACCTCCGGCGGCTTAATCGGAAAATCTTGCCATAAATGATTTGTTCATAGGGTTCCCTGGCCTCCTTAAGAAAGTATCTAGGTTATCTTGCAATATCCAAATAATTTAAGAATCAAAGAAATTAAAAACTAAAACTAATAATGCAAGGAAGAAACTGAAATTTGATAAAAATAGTTCCAAAAGAATAATGTATTGGAATAAAAGAAAATACAAAGTAAAAAGTAAATTGAAGAAGATGAATAATGGTGAATGGCGTGTCTCTTCTGGTTCTTGGATCTCGATTTTATTGGTATTTTTTTTTGAATTTGTTTGTGAAATATGCGATATTAGATAAATAATTTGCTATATTTTAGACGGTTTTTGGATGCGAATTTTGTATATATGCTCCTAATGGTGTGTTTTTGAACTTTCTACTAGGCGTTGAGGAGTTGGCAAATTTTGGGCATATTGGAGAGAAAAGCCAAACACAAGAAGTCCTTAGGCGTGATTACGAAGCAGGAAGAATAAAAATTGCAAAAAAGTCCTCCGGGGTAATTAGCAATTTTAGAATTGTTTGGCTTAAAGTGCAAAAGAGATCTAAAGTGATTAATTGAAAAGGATAGTTAGGGCCAATAAAGAAGGGGAAGAAGAAACGCAAAACCACGATCTCACCTGCAACCCATTTCTGAAAGAGAAGATAAGCGAAGGAAGGACACTACGGACGGGAACTTTGGAGAGCAATGCAGAAGAACTTCCGGGGACCTTTTTCTTCATTTTTAGAATTGGTTTGTTGTCGATTTTTAAACTTGAAAGCACGATGAACTCTTTGATTTATTTTATGTTTTTAATTGCTATGGATTGCAAGTAGTTTCATTTCTAGTGTAGGTATGAATTGATGTTCGGGATTGAAATTATGAGACTTGGTTTCGATTAAAATTGGTGTTCATCGATGTTGGATATTTTTAATTCTTCTAATTGATGAGTTTAGAAATCTTGAATTGATTATTGCGCACGTATCAATTTAGGATTTCATATCTATATTGGGGATTGACATACGTAATTGTGTAATTTTCCAATTTGCGTAGCAACCTAAAGAAGAACACTCTAGGGAAGAATTAAAATCAATTTTAAACAAATCCTCGTAGGAGATTTTTAAATTGAATTGGGCCTTTCTAGTTTTTTTTACTGCTGCCGAGTTAGAAAACTACGGTCGTACCTAGGATTCTTTCCCGATTAGAGAAATAGCTAACGGTCGTACCTTAGTTATCGAAAAAGTAAGGAAAGGTTGGTTGTGAATGCGTTTAGATCAACTACAACCAAATTATCCAACTAGTCGATAAATTTGACTTTTAGTCGATGATCAAATTTCATATCCCGAATGAAAAATTCATGTCTATGCTAAAGTATAATCATATTTGGTAAAGCCCTAATTTTGCATTCTAGTTAACTTGCGTTTATTGAGTAAATTTTATTCTTCCTTATTTAGTGTGATAATCAAATCCCCCCAATATATATTAATATGATTATAATCAATCAAATAGAGAAAGAATTACTGTTTGCCTGCGGAGACGACCCTACTCACTACTGCTATACTGCATATTTTGGGAAGTAGGAATTGATATTTTATTTTACAGCTGTGTGACACGCTAGCAATTTTGGCGCCGTTGCTGCATAACAGTATAAGAATTTTTGATATTTGGTTGTTTCTTTTATTTATTTAGCTCTAATTTTCACTTAATGGTTTATGCCTCGAACTGGTCGTACATTTGAATCAGTGTTTGATTCATAAATCGAAAGGACTGCATGCCGTTTGAGGAAAGAAGCTAGAGAGCGAAAGAGGGCCGAGAAAGAAGTTGAGTCACCGGGACTTAACTTAGCTATACAACTAGCGGATACCTCTAGTTCTAACGAGGGTGTAGAGGCCAAGGAAGTTGAAAAAGTTTTGATATATCCAATGGCACAAAGAACCTTGAGGGAGCTAGCTGCTCCCGACTTAATTCAACACCCTTTGTGTATTAATTTTTCTGCTATAGCCGATAATACGGCATTTGAGCTTTAATCTGGACTAATACATTTATTTCTGTCTTGTCATGGCTTGGCAGGGGAGGAACCACACAAACACTTGAAGGAATTCAATGTGGTGTGTACAAGCATGAAACCACAGGGAATCACTGAAGAGCAGATAAAACTCCGAGCTTTTCCATTCTCCTTGAAAGATGCAGCCAAGGATTGGTTGTTCAACTTGCCCGCCGGGAATGTAACCACGTGGATGGATATGAAGTACAAGTTCCTCGAAAGGTTCTTTCCCGCATCCCAGGCTGCGAATTTGCGAAAAGAGATTTGTGGCATCAAACAAATATCAGGGGAGTCTTCATATGAGTATTGGGATAGATTTAATAAGTTAATTGCTAGATGTCCGCAACATCAGATTTCTGAGCAACTTCTAATTCAATATTTCTATGAAGGACTAACTTTGATTGACAGGAGGATAATTGATGCTTCCAGTGGAGGCGCTTTAATGAATAAGACACTGAAAGAAGCTTGGGAATTGCTTAACGATATGGCTATGAACTCTCAACAATTTGGGCCAAGGTATGTCGTGGGAGTGAAAGAAGTTGTTGAGGTAAGTTCTCCTATGCAACAACAATTAAATGAGTTAACTTTTTTTGTGAGAAAACTTGCTGTAGGGAACGCTCAAGTGAAACCATGTGGGATTTGTACGAGTGTTGTACATCCTACGGATGCTTGTCCTACATTGACACAAGAGGTGGAAGTGAGTGCTGCAGGTTTTGCACCAAGAAAAGCTTATGACCTTTATTCGAATACATTCAACCCGGGATGGCGAGATCACCCCAACTTTAGTTATGGGAATCAACAATCCTATGGTCAGCAGCAACCGCCAGGTTTTCAGTCATATGGACAACAGCAACCACAAAGGGCCATGCCTCAAGCCTCCATGCCTGGTAACTCTTTATATGACATGGTGAAATCAATTGCGCCTAATTTTTTGCAATTTCAGCAAGAGACAAGAACGAGTATTAAAAATTTGGAAGATCAAATGTCTCAAGTTAAGAAAGAGAGGGAGAAATGCAAGCTACCGGCTCAAACCCACATGAACCCGAGTAATGTTAGTTCAATGGTCTTGCGAAGTGGTAAGGAGCTAAAAGGTCCGAAGGTTATTACACAAAAAAAGAAAGCTGGAGAGGAGATTAAGAAGGAGATTGATCAAGAAGCGAACAAGTCAACTGGTCAGGTGAATTCTAAACCTCCTATTCAATCAAATGATAATGTTGCTTCATTTCCTCACAGGTTAGCAAAACCGGCTAAAAGCGATAAAGACACGGAGATCATGGAGATGTTTAAGAAAGTGGAGCTAAGCATTCATTTGCTTGACCCAATTAAGCAAGTCCGCCGGTATGCGAATTTTTGAAAGAGCTGTTTACCAAGAAGAAGAAGTTGAGAGGGGACGAGAAAGTGCTAGCTAGAGAGACTGTGTCTGCCGTGCTGCAAAGGAAATTGCTACAAAAGTGCAGAGATCCAGGTATGTTTGTAGTTCCGTGCAAAATAGGTAAGATGGAAATTAAAAGAGCTATGCTAGATTTAGGTGCAACCATTAACGTTATGCCTAAGTCTATTTTTAACTCTTTGAACATTGGACCCTTGAAAGAAACAGGGATAGTGATTCAACTAGCTGATAGAACTTACGCTTACCCCGAATGGATAATTGAGGATGTTCTTGTGCAAGTGAATGAGTTAATATTCCCTGTTGATTTCTATGTTTTAGATATGCATGATGAAAATTTGCCTAATCCTTCACCTATTTTGCTTGGATTGCCATTTTATGTGTACTGCATATACAAAAATTGATGTTAGAATGGGACACTTACCATGGAATTCGAAGGTGTAATGGTTCATATCAATATTTTTTATGAATCAAATGATCCCGTGGAACCTCATACTTTGTATTGTATAGATGTCCTTGATCAAAATGTGCAGGAAGTCTTTGAAGTTGGAGAAATAAGAAAATTGCAGTTGCAAGAGTTTGAGAAAATTCAGAACAAAGCTTTCGAGAATGCTAGGATTAATAAAAGAAATAGTAAGAACTTTCATGATCCAAATATTTTGAGAAAAGATTTTAATGTTGGTCAAAAGGTTTTGCTTCATCATCTCATCTTAAGATTTTTCTGGGTAAACTTCGTTTTTCATTAGATAGGTCCGTTTTCGATTACTAATGTGTTTCCGTGTGGTACAGTTAAGATTCAAAGTTTTAGCACGGATAAAAGTTTTGTTGTGAATAAACATTGTTTTAAGCCATACTATGAGGGGTTCCAGAACAAAGAAGTGGAGTGCGTAGCTCTTTTTGAGCCATGTGATTAATTTAAGAGATGTTGTGTCGAGCCAATGACAATAAACAAAGGCGCTTCTTGGGAGGCAACCCATGTATTTTAATTTTATTTTGTGTGCTTTGAATTTTTTGTTGTGTTTGTGAATCAGTCTCATACCTTGATTTTTGGTGTTTTGATGCAGATATAGCATTCATGGTGGGATGAGCATAATAGACAAAGTTTTTAGGCGTGGTCACGCATCTAATGTGTTGTGATTGATGAGCGGGAGAAATTTTTAAAAAAATCAGAACGTAAAACTTCTTTAGGCGTGATCACGCCTAATGAAGTCTTTCATTCTGATAAATTATGCAAAAAAAATGATTTATTTTGGGAAATTATTATATATGTTAAATTTATTATTTTTATTAAAAAATTTAATATTACTATATTTATTTATTATTTCTATAATAAATATTATTATAGTTTTTTTTATATATTTTGTTTCTATATTTATTATTATTATAGTTACTATATTTATTCTTATTATTATATTTATTACTGCATCTATAATTATAATTATTATGATATTTATTATTATATTTATTATTGTTTCTATAATTATAATTATTATTATACTAATTAAATCATAATTCTTTATTTCCATATTTATTACTATATTTATTATTACAATTACGTAATTATTATTATTTCTATATTTACTATTATTATTATTATTATTATTATTATTATTATTATTATTATTATTATTATTATTACACCCTTTAAACCCCGGCCGATGCGCTTTTCTTTCCCGCTCTCTCCACAGGCCGATACGAACCGTTGCGCTTCCGCTAGCAGCCGCAGTCCAGCCGGTTCGTGCACTCCGCCACAGATAGAAGTTCCCCGTCCACCAGTAGCAGCAGCCTGCGCGCCTCCTCCGCCAAGCCATCATCAGCCCGATTCAAACGCATCCTCCGCCACGCGCTGCTCCTGATCTCCAGCCGCTGTTGTTCTACGCTGCCGCTGATCATCAGCCATGAGGCACCGGTGAAATTTTCAGGGAAGTCATTTACTCTTGATCTATATTGCATTCTCTTGAGAAACCTCCATCGATTATTGCCTAGATATTATATAAAATAAGTTGATGAAAAAAGAAATTTAATTTGGGCGATTTTCGTAGAGGTTCTTTGATGCAATTGATAAATTGATGCATATAGATTATTGGGAGATATTATTGGGTGATTGATATTGTCGAATAATATTTGAATGTTTATTGTGAAATTGTTCTTGGTGTTGGGGTTAATTGGGACTTGTTATTTAGTTGTTGAATTTTCTGGCATGCAAGCATTATGACTAAAGTGCGGGCATCTGATTCGGTTCCCGCAAGGGTTCCAATAGCTACGAGGTCGTCGACTATTTCAAAGACGAGAGGATGCAAAAGAACAAAGGAACAGACATTCAGGGAACGGACATCTTCTTAGTTGCAGGGTAGAGATGCGGGTAATACAATGCCCACAATTCCAGTCGATCCCCCTGATACTACATTTACCAATGTGCGGGCACGTAAAGGTAAATCAATTCAAGTGTTGCCTCCGACTCACGTTTGGGGCCATTTACACTCTTTCACACCTGAAGAGCAACAAAGGTATGAATTTTTGTGCACCAAGAACGTTTATTCGGGTAAGTGTATACATGTTGAAACACTTGAGACTTTGGGCATTAAAGATGCAGTTTTAGATTACCTGTCTAACATTAGTTGGCGTTGTTTGTTCACTTACCAACAGCTTGGTTTCATTGAACTTGCCCTTGAGTTCTTCTCTACATTTGTGTTTGAACTGCCTAAACAATTTGATGTTATGCAACCTAATGTGATTAGATTTCGCTTGCTTGGTAGAGTTTTCAAGTTTTCTTTAGCCGAATTTAATCTACATTTGGGTTTTGTGACTTCAGAGGAACTTAAGGATGACTCTTTCAGTACCGCTGCTTGTGCTTTTGTTTAGCCATTTTCTGTTTCATTTGAGAAGTTGTGGAGGGGTTTTTTCGTGGATGGGAAAATTTGTTTTGATAATAACTTGTCTGCCCATCACCTAAAGGACCCTGTCCTTCGTTATATACATCGTTTTATTGCTTCCTCTATTTTAGGGCGTCGGGGTACTTCTAGTATTTTGACAAAAACTGAGTTTTTCTTTCACTGTGTATGGCTAATGGCATTAAGGTTAACTTAGGGTACTGGCTGGCTGTACAATTTAGTGAAGTATTTAAGAAGAAAAGGGATTTGATTGGTGTCTCGTTCATTACTACTCTTGCATTTTGTTTGAGTGTTCTCCCTAGCATTGATGATTCTGTTATTTTTAGGTTGCGCCTCCATCAGGTTGGGCCCATCAAGTACTTGGATATGGCGGTGTTATTCCGTATGGGAATGGTTAAGAAAATTTATAATGGATATCGTCTTGTTAATCTGTGGCGTCGGCCGTCCCATCAAGATGCCGTGCAGTTTGATGCCGACCACGGGGCATCTCCTGTCGATGATTCTACTGAGGATGGTGCTCCTTCGAGATCCGCCACTGGCACTGCTCTAAGGGCGCGTGCAACCGATATTGACATTTTGAAGAAGGACAATGTTGAGCTTCGTAGCAAACTTGATGAGATTTTGGCTGGACAAGCAGCCCTGCAAGGATAGTTGGACTCTATTGAAAAGCTCTTGCGTGCGCGTCATCGATCCTAGACTGGCCGGTCGCCCCCACCTATTCCAGGGAAGTTTCTTTTCTCCGTCTATTTTTGCAATAGGGATATCGCATGATTTCAGTGTGGGGGGAGATCAGAATTTTTTATGCTCTATAATGCTTTATTTTGATATAATTCCCTGCATGTCCTCTTGTGTATGTCGAATTGAGATTGTTGTGCTTTACTTAGTTTATTAGGATCTTGCCGTGTTGTTAATGAAGTTAGACGATGTGTGTGTTTAGCCTTCTAACAAAGAACCTTAAGTGAGTTGTTTGAGCCTTATTTGAGCAATTTTACTCATATATATTATATATGCTCAATTTGTTTTGGATTGTGTGAACATATGTTGTATTTGACTTCCTACAATTGCCTGCGTATGCTTATTAACTCCGCGTTTATTGAGAATTGATGGGATTAAAATGATAAGGCACTAGGTTTACCCTTGTTGGCCTTAATTTCATACTTTCACCCCTATTATCCCCTAGTGAACCAAAGTTTGAGCTTAATGTTATTATCCTATTTTTCTTGGTTCATATTTAACCCGAGCCGATATGCCTTTTTCTTGGAATAAGCTGAATGTTTACTCGAACCCATGGGAACTCGAGGGATTGTTCTTTGATTCATTACATTAGATTATTTAGAGTTGCATATCATCACTATATTATTCGATAGTTGCACTTGAAAGTTCTCATATATGTGGCACAATTATAAATTCATATATATTTTTGCCAAAAGTATTTCATTGACCAACCTCCTAAAAAAACACTAAGAAAAAAGGAGGTTGTGTGAAAAAAGAAGGAAAAAAAAATATTCCGAGTCCTAAAAATAAAAATAAGAAAAAAAAAGGGACTCATGAAAAGAAAAGTGAGTATGATGTTGTCTTGCATTGATCAAATCTTGGGAAGTATTGTGTTGTTCTTGTTATATTGTTCTTATTCATACGTGTGTGCGACTTGCGTTCATTTTGATATGATGAATTGATAGATTAATTCATCGGTCCCATTAGCCATTGATATCCCTTTTCCTACCCGAACCAAAGCCCCATTACAACCCTTTTATTAAGACATTTGATTATGAACATTGATTTCTCCATGAATTGTAGAGTAGATTTGATTTGCTTGCAAGCCTATGGGATTTGTCATTTACTTCATGTGCATTGAGTGGATATAGCCTAAACACTTGAGGGTGAGAGCTTACTTCATATACATTTTCCATTTGAGTGGTTAGTTGGTTTTGCATGCATTGAATCCGACGTAGTTGACGGCATGGTTGAGTGACTTTTGCGCTAGTAGGTATTTCAATTTTTGGTTTGGATATATGCTTGAGGACAAGCATGGGATAGATGTGGGGGAGTTGATATATGCGATATTAGATAAATATT